TGGCTGTCAGGCCCAGCTCAGAGCCCCCCCCCCCCCCCCCCCCCCCCCCCCCGCCCCCCCCCCCCCCCCCCCCCCCCCCCCCGCTCCTGCTCCTGCCTGGGCCAAGGTTGCTTGGGGGGCGGGTAAGAGAGAAGAGTTCGGTTGGGGGTTCTTCCTCCCACTCCGGGTCTAAACCTTTCAGCACCACCCACAGGGACCAAGGCGGGAGAAGCTGGAAAGGGACCCACCGGCTCTCCCCAGGGATCTGAAGGGGGATTAGCCAGGATTTCCTGTGGGGGGGGAGGGGAGGGTGGGCTTGGGTGCCTTCCCTGCTCACCTGGGGGCGAGTGTCAGCACTGTCCCCCCCCATCTTCCACTCTCCAGTGGCCTTTGGTTTCTATTAACTTCTTTCTGTTTTTAGTGCAGATACTTTTTTATCTTTTACTGAAAGATGCCCGGAGTTACTCTAAGATGGGCAGCCAATAAATCTTTCTTCATAAACAAGGGAGCAAATGAATAAACAGCCCACTTCAAGAGGCGAAGGAGGACCCGGCCTTTCGGAATGGGGGTCCCTGTGGGTTCGCATCTTACCTTCTCTCGGATCTCCAGGGCTCTCTGGCACAGAGGCTCGGCGTCCTGGTACTTCCCGCGCTTGCCGTACAGCACAGAGAGGTTGTTCAGGGTGGCAGCCACCTGGCAGGGACAACGGGGGGGGGGGCTTAACGAGATTGGAGACCCTCTGAAGCAGGATGAAACGGGACCAAACCGGGTGCCCCTCCCTCCTCCTTGCAGCCTCCTCCACACAGCCCCTACCAGCCCCATCCCCTCCCCCCGCACAGCCCGGGCACTCACGGAAGGGTGTTCCATGCCCAGCGCCTGCTCACGAATGTCCAGGGCATCATTGAGCAGCTCCGTGGCCGCCTCGTACTTGTTCTGGTCCCTGCAGGAGGAGAAGCAGGGAGCTTGGGGGGGGGGCGGCAGGGGGCAGCCTGCAAGGCCATGCCAGGGCAACCCCAGGACGCAGCTGCAGCTCCGAGGCCTCCAGGGGAGGGGTGGGAGCAGAGAACAAAAGGGTCCCCTGGAACCCCACCCCCTCCCTGCTCTTTCCGTCTGTTCCCCGGAAGCAGCGCCTGCCGGAGGGGGGGGGCCTCAGGCACCTTACCGGTAGACCAGGGCCAGGATATTGAGCATGGTGGCCACATCTGGGTGGTTGTGCCCGGAGCTCTTCTCCAGGTCCTCCAGGGCCTGCTTGCAAAGTGGCACCGCCACCTCGTAGCGCCCTTGAGAGGCGTACTGGATCACCAGGTTGTGCAGCGTCCGCAGGCGCGCAGGGATCTCGTACCCGCCTTGCTGGGCTGCCAGCGCGGCTACACCCACACTCTGCCCCTCTGCAGGGCACAAGAACGGCCGGCTGGTGAAAAGGGAGCCTGGGGGGGGGCAGGCTGGGTAGAAGCAGAGGCTCCTCCTGAAGCCCCCCACCCACATCCCCGGCCGGGGGCTTCTCCTGTTGCCCTCGGAGGCGACGGGGGCTCCTTGCCACCCACCGCTGGGCCTCGGCCTCACTGAGGCAGACAGGCAGCCGTTGGCCAGGCCGAGCTCCGCTTGGGAGCTGGCTGAGAGAGCCAAGGAAACACACCTGTCCTTTGGGCGTCTTCCGTGCTGAGAAAGGATTCCTCCGTGTCCACCTGCAAGGAGAAGCTGGGAAAGTCAGGGAGGGGCAGGGAGCCCCCCCCCTTCTCTCTGTTTCCCTTTAGAAAGCTCTCCGCTAAGCACAGGCTTTGGAGAGAGGGATGCAGGGTCCATGTTGCCCTCCCCGCCTCCTCCTGCACTTCCAATCATCCTGAGCCAGTGTGCCCTGGAAGATTGGGGTCAATAGGTTCATAGGAACCTTCGAAATTGTGGATTCTTTCACCCCAAATAGCCCCCCCCAACTGGAGGAAAGCCCCCCCCTCCCCCCTCCTCCGGCCGCACCTGCTCCTCCCGGGGCTCGTACTGCTTGAGCTGGTTCAGGAAGCGCAGGTGCTTGTTCTCCTCCTCCAGCTGAGCCACGGCCTCCGCGCTGTGCTGCAGCCGTAGCTGGGTGCCGGCCAGCTCGTCCCGCAGCCAGAGGTTCTCCTGGCCCAGGCGCCGCACCTGGGCACGCAGCTTCTGCTTCTCGGCCTCCAGCGCCCCGATGTGCGAGGAGAGGGCGATCAGCATCTGCGGAGAGGAAGGGGGGCAGCTCCAGCCATCGCAGCCTTTGCCCCGAGGAGACCCCGAGAGAGCTCTGCAGGGCCCCAACACGCGACTCCCAGAAATAGGAAGGGAAAAGAGAGGGAAGGGGGAAAAGGGGCATTGACTTCCAGTAGAGTAAGATAACGTTTTTATATTTTGAGAAACTAATTTATATATATATAATTTCTTGATAAATGTAATATGTTCTACTGCTTGTGTTTGCATCATATTCAATTCCAGTATTTTGGAATTGGATCGACCTCTTCTCCAAGGCCCCCAAAGGCAGGAGAGGAAGCAACAGATGGAAATCCGATTAGGGAGAAAAGCAACTGGGACCAAGGAGGAAGAACAATTTGCCTCCAGAGGTTCTGGGTTTTCCCTCATTGGAGGCTTTAAATGGGGGGGGGGTTTCCCTGCTTCAGCAGGCCTTGGGAGTAGAAGCCCCACCCCCATCCTTAGCCAATAAAACATTGAAAACCAAACCCATCACTTGAAGGCAACACAAGTGGAGCCCCTGAACCTTCCGGTTGGAGCTGGCGGCCAGGGTGGCCCCCCCTGCTAGCCCCGCCTCCCAGGATCCCCACGGAATCCCCAAAAGCTCCATGACATCACAGCCANGCTTCCAGTGTGTCTGCTTCTCATTTCTACAAAAGCGAGTTTTGGCGTTGCTGTTATTTGGCAGAAGAGTCTGTCAAGAGTGCTCAGAGCATGTGAAGAGTGCTTTTTGGTCCTTGGAAGCTGGCAATTTCACTGCAGGGATGATACCAACAGCCCAGGCTTCTCTGCAGATGCCACACAGCTCTGCTCTAGAACCCACTTTCCACATCTGCACTCAGCACCTAAAGCTTGAGGCCGGGCCTCTGAGCATGGGCAAAGTGCCTTGACAATGTCCCTTGCGTAATCTCTGCCCATCTTCCACAACCGAGTCTGAGCTTTGGGGAAAATCACCCTTGGAAAAACACTTCACTGCCCAGCTGTTGCTCAGCTCCAGCTGCTGCTGGCAGAGGGTCAAGCTTCCCACACACACACACACCCCAGCCAGCTCTAATCTGTCCCTCATGACCCTTCAACAGGTGGGACTGCCAAGTGTTGCTGGGGGGGGGGGGAGGCTAGGGCAGCCTGTGCGTGCCCTGGCAGGAGCAGATTAGTGGCCTGAGAAATGGAGGGGGGGACAAGGCAGCTGCTTTGAAAGAAGGGGGCCTCTCTCCAACTGACCCACAGGAGCCCAGGGAGGCATTGCTGTCCTTTTGGTGCCCTTTGCTAGCATGGAGGACATCTGCCTGCCAGGCCATTCTCCCCCACAGCCCCCCCCCCCCCTCAGGTGTGCCATCCCAGGCTTGTTAGAGCTTTGGCAAAGCGCTGGCCGAGAGGATTGCAGAGTCCTCGCTCTGGTCCACAAAAGGGCAGGATTTCTCCTACCCCCTTGAAGGAAAAGGAAGGAAGGAAGGAAGGAAGGAAGGAAGGAAGGAAGGAAGGGGTAGCTTTTACAAGCATCCTTTCCCATAATGGGAGGGCTTCACTCCTACCCACACCCCCATCGGGCACCTGCCCATTCCTAAAAGCCTCAGCCTGGGGCTCAAACTTGCCCCTTGTGGCCAGACCCCTTCTGCCTTTGGGCTCCTAAATCCCCCCCCCCCCCCCCCCCCCCCCTCAGGTGTGCCATCCCAGGCTTGTTAGAGCTTTGGCAAAGCGCTGGCCGAGAG